GACAGGCCCCCAGGTCCCAGCAAGCACCGGCAAACGGCCCCAGGCCTCCTGGGGGAAGCTGGTCACCAGCAGGGGCAGCCAGCCAGCAGCAGCCACCATGGAGGTAGGCACCCCTGCCCCAAAAACAACCACCTGGCCTCCAGCCCAGTAGCTCCCTGCACCCCAGCCACATCCACACTCACTGGGTGGCTTTAAGCAAGTCCCTAACCTCTCTGCACCTCAGCTTCCTCCTCGGTAAAACAGAGCAATTAGTCACCACCAATGTAGTGCTGTGGGGATGATTAGGAATACCTAAGAAGCAATTATAGAGCTGGTGCTTAGTAAGTGGTCAAAGTACGTAGCTCTTAGCTTAGGGCCAGGACAGAATCACTGAGAGGCGACTTAAGTCACACTTGCTTGGCATTTCCTTGGGGCTAGAAGACTTGGTGGTGCCCTGCCCCAGGCTAGCACTTTCCCTGAGATCCTGGGATCCAGCCTTCCAGCCCCAGCTATGTTCTTTCCAGCCCTGTGGCTCACACCCACACGCGGGTTGTCCTTGCCAGTTGCCAGGGCCAGGTGACCCCAAGAGGCAGACAGCCCTACCAGGCAGCGGGTCTGTGTGGGGCTGGGGAAGCATCGGCTGTCCTCCACATCTACTGAGGGGGACCCAGCGCTGAGATGGAAGGATGGGCCCTGGAGAGCAGTGGCCATTTCTCTGTAGTCCCCACCTCCCCAGTGGCCAGCACAAGCCTTGGCACCTGGAACAACCACAGAGATCTTCTGAAAACAAAACTCACGTCCCTCACCTGTGGAAGCCGAATTGACGCCCTCCCATTTTCAGGAGCAGGAAGGCTTATTAAGACCCCCTCCCCAGGGAATTCCCTGGCAGTCCATTGGTTAGGACTCAGTGCTGTCACTACCTAGGACCCGGGTTCAATCCCTGGTCAGGGAACTAGGATCCTGCAAGCCATGCGGCGCAGCCAGAAAAAAAAGAAACAAACAAACAAACAAACAGGTTGGTATTCAGTTATTAGTCAGGGGTATAATCTCTAATACAAAACAAAACAAAAAACCCTCCCTAGCCCGCTGTCTGTCACACTGAACTCCGCAGGTTTTCTTTAACTTCCAGATTTTTGCACTTGCTGTTTTTCTGCTTGAAACAGCTTTCTGCACCCCCTCACCCGGCTGTCCCTTCCCATCTTCTGTGTCAAGTGCTGAATGTATGTTCCAGCTGCCAGGGGTTCATCAGTGACCAGAAGAGAGAAACCCTTGCCCTTGTGGTTGCCCACATTCTAGTAGGTGGAGGGAGACAAACCATAAACAAAGAAACAAAGTAGTGAGTGATATAATGCGTTAGAAGATGACGCACTACATGACACACTCTTGACTTTCTCACTGGAATCCAGAGTACTGGGGGGGCCGGGGGAATGATTTTAACTGAGGTGGTCAGGGTGGGCCTTGGTAAGAGCAACATTTCAGCAAAGGCTAGAATCAATGAGTGGTGAGCCAGGCAGAGGTCTCTGGGAAGACAGATGCAGGCAGAGACCTGCAGGCGGAGGGAAGGGCATATGCAAAGGCCCTGAGGTCAGGACACAGTTCAGGCCAGTGAGGGGAGGGAAGTTGGAGACTCATCAAGAGTTAAGGGAGGGGGAGGGGCCGATGGACAGGGCCTTGAAGGCCCAGGTAAGGACTCTGGCTTTCACTTTGAGTGAAAACCTAGAGGGCTTTGATCTGATTTGGACCTCGAGAGAATCACCAGGGCCCCCGTGTTGAGCCGGGTCTGCATTGGGCAGAGGCAGGGGCGGTGCCACAGGGGAGGATGGTGATCTGTGCCAGGCTGGTGGTGGTGGAAGTGGTAAGCAGCTGGACTCTGGGTTTCTCTTGAAGGTACAGCTGGCAGGATTTGCTGGCAGACAGATGTGGGGTATGAGGCACAGAGAAGATGGCTGCAAGGGATCTGGCCTGGGCACCTGGAAGGATGGAGTCGCTCTTAACTGAGATGGAACTGAGACGGCGTGGGGTGAGATCAGGAGCCCTGTTTGGGCCAGAGCAGGTTAGAGGTGCCTTTTGGGCATCCAGGTGGAGACTTCTAGTAGGGATAGATACCTGTAGAAGTTGGCAGTCGCTGATGTAGTGTTCTGTGGGCCCTGGGAACCAGTGTAGACAGGGGAGGAGCTGGACTGAGCCTGGGGATCCAGTCTGCAGAGGGCAGCAGGAGAGGAGGAGTCAGCACTGGGGTCTGAGAAGGAGGGAGCGGTCTGGTAAGGAAAGGGCGAGCTGAACCCGTGAGGCTCCTTCCAGGGCCGCTGGAGGAGGACTGCGAGTAGAGCACTGGGCTCGACACAGGGCCAGTGCAGCTTGGGTGGCAAGTGGGGAGGGATGATAGGAAGAGAGTTGGAGGTAGAAAGGGGAGCCCACCCCCTCTTGGCAGCTGAGCTCTGGCAAAGAGGAACAGAGGAGCAGGTGGCAGCTGAAGGCCCAAGGAGAGTCAAGGAAGGGTTGTTTTATTATGTCTTTTATGATAGAAAGGGAAATGAAAAGAGCATTTGGTGGTGGGGGGCCCATGCTGCGCGGCTTGTGGGATCTTAGTTCCCCAACCAGGGATGGAACCCATGCCCCCTGCAGTGGAAGCATGGAGTCTTAACCACTGGACCGCCAGGGAATTCCCAAAAGAGCATGTTTGTAAGCTGATGGAGTAATCCAGGAGCAAGGAAAATACTGGAGGATGCAGAAGAGAAGGGAAGCTTGCTGGAGAGGTGTCCTTGAGTAGGAGAGAGCAGTTTGGTGTGCAGGGGAGGGGCGGCTCAGCTAAGAGCGGTGGAGGTTAGGGGGAGATACCTCATGGGAACTAGTAGAAGTCTCTCTCATGGGTGCTTCCATTTTCTTGGTAAAAGGAAGCCAGGTCTTGAGCCAGGAGTGAGGGTTGGGAGAGGGATGGGGGCTGATGGGGAGAGAGGAGCAGGTTTGAAGTGGTTGTCTTGGCCTAGAGGATGGAGTGTGGAAGGTGTGCTGGGCAACATCTAGGGTGCCACTGGGTCTCGTGACCATGAATTTGAACTGAGGTGGCACGGCTGTGCTTTTCTCCAGCCCCACTGGCCAGTCAGCTGCCTGTGGGAACTGGCAGGGAGTTGGCCTTAACCAGACCTGTGCTGGTCTCAGCCCAGTGAGAGAGGTGGCTGGGGGCTTAGCTCGTGTGCAGTGTAAGCTGGCCAAGTGTGAGGAATCCCAGCATCATTAGAGTTGGGGTGCCAAGGCAGGGAGCTGGGAAGGACCACTTCGGTGCTATGAATGAATGAAGACACGAGCGGCTAAGGGAGTGGCTGGGGAGAGAACGGCAGGGAGCTCCAGTAATCTCCTGCACCCACGAGGGGCCCACCCTGTGGGCGGTGGGTGCTTGAGGCCCAGAGTGGGAAGGGTGGCACAGCCCAAGAAACTAGATTTGTGGAGGAGGGAGTGAGAATGGTCTGAAGCAGCAATAAGCCAAGGGGATGCCTATCCCAGCTCCAGGTCCAGCCATGAGGAGGCCTGCAGGGGAGAAAATAGCCACCATGTAAGAGGACTGCACTGGATTCCTTAAACTTTTCTTTTTTAATTAATTAATTTTTGGCAGCATTGAGTCTGTTGCTGCGCGCAGGCTTTCTCTAGTTGCAGCGAGCGGGGGCTACTCTTCTTTGCGATGCGCAGGCTTCTCATTGCAGTGGCTTCTTCACTTATTGTGAAGCACGGGCTCTAGGCGTGGGATTCAGTAGTTGTGGCTCGTGGGCTCAGTAGTTGTGGCTCACGGGATCTAGAGCACAGGTTCAGTAGTTGTGGCTCATGGGCTTAGTTGCTCCGCAGCATGTGGGATCTTCCCTGACCAGGGCTCGAACCTGTGTCCCCTGCATTGGCAGGTGGATTCTTAACCACTGCGCCACCAGGGATGCCCATCCTTAAACTTTGGACTTAGTTTTCGATGTCTAAAAAGCAAGTGATTTTTCCATAAAAGATCCGCAAATGCCAGCGACCTGCCAGAGCCACGGGGCCACTGCCCCCTCCAGATGGGCAGGGTCCTGTCACTCTTCATAATCCCTGCCCACACACCCCTGCTGTAGTGGACGGCGTGTGTCCCCAGGGCGGGCCTGTGGCCACCTTGTGTGCTGTGACAGCTCCATTGCATAGCCTGGTGCCTGGGGCGGCTGGTGCGTGGATGATGGAGAGGGGAGGAAGGACATGCAGTGGGAGAAGCAGCCCAGTGCCGGGCCCTGGGCCAGACTGCAGGGGTCAAGCTCAGCTCTCCCCTCTACTGGTAGCTCGAGCTTGAGCAGGTTACTTAACTCACTCTGCCTCAGCTTTCTTTGTTTTTCCTTTTTAAAAAATTGAAGTGTGGGCTTCCCTGGTGGCGCAGTGGTTGAGAGTCTGCCTGCCGATGCAGGGGACACGGGTTCGTACTTCACCATAGTAAGTGAAGTCAGAGAAAGAAAATATCACATGATATCACTTATATGTGAAACTAAAAAAAATGATACAAATGAACTTACTTACAAAACAGAAATAGACTCACAGACATAGAAAACAAACTTACGTTTACCAAAGGGGAAAGGAGGTGGGAAGGGATAAATTAGGATTTGGGGATATTTTTTTCTTTTTGGCCGTACCACGCTCGGCTTGTGGGATCTTAGTTCCCCGATCAGGGATTAATAACCTATAATGGAAAAGAATCTGAACAGGAATATATGTATGTATATGTATGTATAACTGAATCACTTTGCTGTATACCTGAAACTAACACATCATTGTAAATCGACTACACTTCAATTTTTTCTTTTCTTTTTTTTTTTTTTTTTTTTGTGGTACGCGGGCCTCTCACTGTTGTCTCTCCCGTTGCGGAGCACAGGCTCCGGACGCGCAGGCTCAGCGGCCATGGCTCACAGGCCCGGCCACTCCGCGGCATGTGGGATCTTCCCGGACCAGGGCTCGAACCCATGTCCCCTGCATTGGCAGGCAGATTCTTAATCACTGTGCCACCGGGGAAGTCCTAAAGAAGAAGAATATCTTATTTCAGTGTCCCAAATACAATTTTGGTGGAATACGGCAATGCACAGCCATGTATATATTGTTTCTGGCTTCTTTCAAGCTATGACTGCAATGCTGAGTAGCTGTGACAGAGACTGTGTGGCCTGCAATGCCCAAAGTATTTACTATGTGGCCCTTTACAGAAAACATTTGCCAGCCTCTGCTTTAGTGTTTTCTGATTTCCTCAGCTCTGAGCAAGGTGGGGGTATGTTCTCTACAGGACGGTAAGGGGCTTTTGTACCCCAAACGGCTTTGGGGACACAGGAAGCCTCGGCCAAGACACGACAGGCAGCGCACCTGCTCAGGGAGGAGTGCCACGCTGCTCTCCTGCTGGGGGCGAGCAGTAAGTGAACCCACGTGTGGTAGAGCAGGATCCAAACCCAGCCCTGCCTGATGGCAAAGCCTCACTGCCTCAAACTGTCTGGAACATCACTGTTTTAATGAAGTGTGCAAGGATGCTCACAGAAGCATGAACATGGATGTGTCCAGCCCCATGCACGTACCCAGAAGCCCAATGGGTAAAGAACTTAAAGCCTGGTGGTGGGCCTCGGGGCACCTCCAGCCCTAGGCCCCTCCCAATTCCCCACCCCAGCCCCAGGCAGGCTCTCTGGAAGGATGGTGTGAGTGGGCAGGCCTGGGTACCCACCCATGCTCACAACCAGACAGGAGCCACGCCCATCTCTCACCCTTACCTTCCCCAAACTGGGAGAGGCCACCTCTGCCGTGCCCCTGGGGCATGTAGGGGTGAGAGCTGATTGAAGGTTGGATGCATAGGGTGGGAGGGGCATATCCACTTCCCCCTGGGAGTTCACAGAAAATCCCTCAGATTTTTTTCTAGTAAACAGAAGGACACTTAAAAGTTCAGTTTACACTTAGGAGTGTCATTTTGACAATGGCTGGCTTGGCGTTGCTAAATCCATGGCTTTGGTAAAAATCCCCACTCCTTAGGGTAGGCCGCTGGTAGAGCTGGCACTTAAAGAAGCACCAGGGGTGCCTCCCCAGACCTGAGCCCCCAAGGTGGCCCGTGGTGCTGCTGGGGGGAGCCAGGGGCATGAGAGTTAAGCACACAGGCACAGGAGCCAGACTGGTTGGGTTGGAATCCCAGCTCTGCCATCTACTAGCTGTGTGACCTTGGGCAAGTTATTTACCCTCTCTGTGCCTTAGTTTTCTCCTCTGTAAAATGGGGACAGGGAGTAACCTCCTTCATAGGATGTGATGAGGACGTAAGGAATTGATACACACGAAGCGCACTTCCAACCTGACACAGCGAGTGCTCTTCTGCTTGCTCTGATTCCTAGGCAAGGGTGCAGTGCCCACCTGCCAATCACTCATCTTCTGACCCTTGGGCCTTGCATCTGGCAAGTGTGGAGGTGTGTGTATTCTTAGTGCTGGTAAAGGAAAATAATAGCTGATGGTTCCTGAGCATTTAAGTGACCGGGCAAGGTGTACCAGCTGTGCGACCCTGGGCAAGTTCCTAACCTCTCTGTGCTTCTACTTCCTCATGTGTGAAATAGGGAGAACTTGGCCTCTGCTTCACTGGGAAGCTGGGAGCCTGCAGGACATGAAAAATGCAGAATTGGGTGCTCTCCCTGTGTCATTTGTTCTCGTGGAGGTCCTGGGGTCTGGGGTCCATCTCACAGAGGACTACACTGAGGCCCCAAGGGATTAAAGAAAAGGCCCCAGGTCACAAAGCAGGAAGGTGGTGGTGGGGACCCCGGCCCTGCTGCCCATGCCTCATGGAACTGGTCAGCGCTCTGCAGATGGGCCTATTCTCATCAGGGCTCTTGCTGCTCTCAGCTCCTTAGCCCCCACCCCCAATCCCAGCTGCTGACTTAGCTGCCCGTTCCCCACTGCCAACTCACTCCTCAAAGGCTTTATGGTCTCCCTACCTACCTGACCTCAGGCTTTGGTGACGCCCAGGAGCTCCGACCACCCGCTTAGCCTAGGCCTTTCTGGATCCAGCCCCCTCTTCCCTTTTTGGCTTTCTCAGCCATGTGTCTGGAGATGGGACCCTTGGAGGCCCAGCAGCCCTGGAGCTGACCCACAGGCCTTTTGGGAGGGGATGAGACAGTTACCCCTGGCTTCAAGACCTGGTCTAGATCTTACTTTCTCCAAAACGCCTCCCTGTGGACGCTGGCCCCCTGCACTTCTTCCATGCCTGTCTTTCACTCTATACTTAGCTCTGGATTTTGCTCCTGGGAGTGTTCTAGGTCTTTGCTGGACTGCGTATGCGGGTGGGGTTGGCAGGAGTTCGGGAGATGGCACACAGTACATAGGTCGGTCAAACTCAGGACACACCTCTTTGCATAATGATCCACCACGCCCTTTCAGCTTACAAAGCACTTTCCAGCTCTTTATGTGACCCTCATGCAGTCACTGGTAGTAAGGACTACGTTTATCCCCACAGGGAGGTGAGGGCACAGGTGCAGGGAGTTGAAGGGCAGCTGGACAAGGGAAGAAGTGTAGCTCGATGGATAATCACTGGACTCTGGATTCCAACAAACCTCTAGGGACTTCTAGCCTCAGAGCTTCACAGCTGTGGGACCCTGCGCAAGTCTTCACCTCTCTTAAACCTCTGTCTTCTCATCTGCAAAGTGGAAGCAATGTTAGTACTCACCTCCCAGGATGGTTAGGAGGATAATGAAGTAATGCCCAGGGCCTACTAGCACACAGCAAGTGCTCCCTAAGTATTACCTAAAGTCAACAGACCTTTCTGGACAATTTCTCCAAAGTGGGTGCTGTGAGAGGTACAGACACGCTGCTGACAGGCTCTTGTTCTCTGGGGGCCCAAGGTCTCCTGTAGGCCACAGCAGTGAAACAAATGGACCCCAGCAGGTCAGCTGCAGGTCGCCTGGCTGGGGCGACCTCCTCATCCAGGGGACTGGTTTCCTCTGCGGGGGAATGGGGCTGAGGAAAGAGCTACCGGCCCAGGGGGTTGCTGGGAAGCCCCAGCATCGCGCACTCGCAGCTCTAACTACTAGTTCTTATGCCCTTATTTTGTGCCAGGCACAGAGGAAAGTCATTTTATACACTAAGGGCCTGGCCCATTATTGGGGCTCAATTAAGATTTGTGGGATTAGTGAGAAGTTAATTCGAATCTTCACAAAAGCCCCGTGAGCTTCCCTTAGGAGGGAACTGGGGCTCTGAGAAGTAGAGTGATGTGCACGCAAAGACCACAGCGGGCCGACGGAGCTAATGCTGAGGGCTTCGGCAGAGCTGGGGGCACAGAGGAGTTGAGATTCACGTCGTCCCCACCCCCTGACCTTCTCTGCAGGCACTGGGGCTGTGGAGACCCGGAGTCGCCACAGCTCCTACTCCGCGGGGACGGAGGATGAAGAAGGGACGGAGGAGGAGGAGCCCAGCCCCTTCCGGGGCCGCTCGCGCTCGGCGCCCCCCAACCTCTGGGCTGCACGGCGATATGGCCGCGAGCTCCGGAGGATGAGCGACGAGTTCCACGGCTCCTTCAAGGTGAGCTCCGGCCGGGGGGCACAAGGCACCGCAGTCCCGGGGCATGCCGGGACCTAGACTCCCGGGGCTCCTCCCACTGGGCTGTCCCATTCGAGTCCCACTGCATGTCGGGATTTGCGGTCTCGGGACTCCTCCCCCCAGCCTGTCCTTTCCCGAGTCCCAGGGCACTTCGGGATCTGTAACCCAGACCCCGCTCCAGAAGGCCAAGGCTCCTGCGTTCCCCAAATCCTTTGAGCGCGGGGCATGCTGGCATCTGTGCTCCTGACCGACCTCTTTCGGATATCCGGGTTCCTGGACCTCAATTTCGGAACCCCTTCTTTAATTTTCGAATTACGGTCCCATCTTCCAGGTGCCAGATTTCCAGCTCTGGCGCTTACAGGGTCCTAGGCATCCTCTCTTCCCGCCCCCGGCATGGAGGGTCTGGGATCTCGGTACAGGGCCTGCTGCCAGCTATTGTCTTTATCTCCCCCGTGATCTCACTTGGCGGTGGGATTCCGGAAGCGGAGGGGCCAGGCTCGAGGTGCCAGGATAAGCTAATTCACATAACCCTTTCCTCCTCCCACCCCGAAGGGACTTCCTCGCCCGAACAGCGCGGGCACGGCGACGCAGATGCGACAAAGCCCCAGCTGGACGCGCTTCCTTCAGTCCTGGTGGAACCGGAACTTGGGGAGAGGAGGCCCCGCCCCCTCCCAGTGACCTTCTGTCCCACATCCCGAATCTCCGAACCGCTGCTGGCGGCCATCTTGGGAGTGGGCGGAAGTCTTTTCTGCAGGCCTTATGCAAAAGGAGGCTGTTTCGTCCCTTTCAGAAGGAGGCGGTCTGACCCAGAGCCCAATTCCCTTCCGGTGTGTGCAAGGACCGCGGAGGGGCTCGGCCCCCATCGGAAGTTTTGAAGTTTTTCCGCCCTTAGGTGCTGGAAATGGCCCTGTGACCCCGCCCCCGGCGCTGGGCTGCCACAGTCGCCTTCGCCAGTTGCGAGCCGGAATTAACCCTAACTTCGCCAGAACGCTTTCTTCCGCGGTAACGCTGCGGGCCGATGCTCGCTAGAAATGTGGTAATAAAGCCCGCGTCTGTGCCGTGGAGTCTCCTATGTCCGTCGCTTGGGGCTTCGCGGGCAGGGGGAGCGGTAGCACTGACAGAGTTTCAAAAGATGCCCCCGTTTTATATATAAGGGAAATTGAGGCTGTTTCTGAGTGACATCATGGGACCGAGATCAGAGAGGGGTTGAGGCGGCGAGCAGAGCCACGGCTGCTTGGCCTCCGGGAAGCGGAGTGCGACCGGACCTCGGGGACCTCCAGGTCCTTATCTTTAATATGGTAATTGGGAACTGCAGGCCGGCTGGCCGCCGGAATTCCACGCACTGCAAACCGTGCCGCAGTCCCCCAGGGGAGGGTCATTTGTTCCTATTTGGGTCAGTCCTTTTGAGCAGCTACTGTGTGGCCGGCCTGGGGCCAGCGCTCCTCAGGGAACTGGCTGGACGCGTAGGGCGGGGGAGGGGGTGGAACGCTCGGGTCAGGGCTGTGAGTAGAGCGATGGCTAGGGAACCCGAGAAGCTTCACCAGGACCTGGGAGCAGAGCTCAGAGCTCAATTTCAGAAAGATTTATTGGCGCCCCCTACAGACAAGCCAGCACTTTGTACTAGGTACACAGAGATGAATTACGCCACAGCCCCTGCTGTCCCAAGCTTCCTGGCAAGGGGAAAGTCAGCCTCTCACAGTGGAGTTACTGTCAGCCAGTGCTGTAACAGGTGCCTGGAAGCGGGTTGAGGGCGGCTCCCTCCGGCAGGGTAAAGTCAGGGACGGCTTTAGGGAGGAGGTGAGCTAGAGCTGAGACTTGAGATGGGGGAGGGGGCTGTCATTCCCAGTGGAGGAAAGAATAAACCCTTGGAAGGATGGGGGAGCTGCAGAGACCAGGCTTCTCAAGGGTCGGAATGTCATGCCCAGGAGTCTGGAGTTTAGCCTGGTCTTTGAGGACCTGTGGACTGACGTGTAGTGTTTATGTGTGGAGTCAGGAAGATGGGAGTCAGCTGCTCAGGGGCCTGGACGGGGCAGCTTTGGGGCTAGGACCAGACCTGACCACAGAAGCAGGGAAGACCCGGGCAATGATACTGACCCTAAGGGAGCAGGGCCCAAGGCAGAGGTCCCCAGCCCTGGGAAGGCCCCGCTCTGGAAATCCTGCTTCTCTGGCCTCCCCACCCCATCTGTTTGCCTGAGGTTGCAGCAAAAACAAAGAAAACACTCAATTGGCAGGAGATAAGCTCAGATAAGAGGCTGCCTTCCTCTGGAGGCGGGAGGCAGCCCGGGAAGCGCCAGGAAGCTGGGAGAGGCCTTGAAGAAGTGCCAGCCTGACCCTGCTGCAGAACCCAGCCGCACCCTCGCTGCGGGGTCTCTGCCACTCCACGCTGTCCCAGGGCAGGAGGGGGAGGCATGGAGCAGGTCCTCCAGGCTGGCCGAAGACAGTCTGCCATAGAGGGTCCAGGCCCACCCTGCCTCCAGGTCAGGACGTCTTGACTTAGTTGTGGCCTCAGTTTCCTCATCTGCAAAACAGGCATAACGTCTCCCTCACGGGGATGAGGGGTGCCGCGCGTCCTAGCCCCTGTGTCTGTGACCGTCAGCCCCCCTTCTCCCAAGGGTCACTTCCAGGCTCATCCACTTCCCACCTATTGCTGAGAGCCCAGGTCCCCTGATGTTGGGCAGGTTCTGAGCTGCCCAGCTCCACCCCTAACAGGTCCATCCCCCGATACAGTCAACTGCCTGTGTGGCCCGGAGCAGCCTCAGCGGAAGATGCTGGGTGCTTGGGTCATATCAGGCAACAGGAAGAGGGTGCAGGGGAGGCTTCCTGAAGCAGAAGCCTGAGCCTCTGTGAAGGGAGGACAAGAAGAGCCCGGGAGCGAGAAAAGTAATGGGTGGGGGTGGGGTGGGGTGGGGTGGTGGGAGGAGAGGGGAGCAGGAGTGATAGCCCAGGGCAGAGGGCATAGAGGCAGGAAAGCCTGGGGGAGGCCAGAGGGCCTCTGATGTCAGGTCACTGGGAAGATCTGCAGGCAGTTCCTGGGCAAGGAGGTCTCAAGATTGAAACCCAGCAACCCTTTGTTGGGGGCCTGACCTCAATCCCACAATCCCATTTTATAGATGAGAAAACTGAGGCTCCAGAAGTAGCAGAGCCAGATCTAGGGCCCGAGTCCTCTCCAGCACTGCCCCACCCCAAACCACGCTGCACACAGGGTCCCTGAAATCCACTTTTATTCATGTAAAAAAATCCCCAAAGGATAGAGAAAGAACGTGACTCCGACTTCCCGGAGCTCGAAGTCTCCACCCACTGTTCCCTGGGGAAGTGAGGGAAATGAGTCCCACTCTAGGGTGTGGGTGTCCTGGGGGTGAGGCCCTTCTGGCCCACAGTGACCCACCCAGCACCTCCCCTAGGACTGAGGGCAGGAAGGAGGGACTGGGGATTAAAGGGGCCCCAGGAGGGTGAAGGAAGGGAGTTAGTGTGGGGTGCTCGCCCCAGTTTAAAAAAATAAAATTTCTAAAGATAAAAAGTTTAAAAAAAAAAAAAAGCATTTAGTGTCTTAGCCTCCTGCCCTCCTCCCAGTGCCCACCCTGGCCTGGTGGCCACCTCTTGCTCAGCCAGTTCAGAGCTTCGTAGTCTCCTCTTGGCTCTCCGAATCAGCGCCGGACAGGTGCCCACTGCTCCCAGGCGCGTGACCATTGCTGGCACAGGCCACCAGATGCCCGTCCCCCAGTCCCTCCGGTGTCTCGCCCAGCAGGCTCCGGCGGATCTCCTGGGGCAGCCTCTCCCGCTGCTCCTGACACTCCTGGGCCAGCTGGGCCAGCAGCTGCAGGAAGAAGAGTATCACAGGCAAAGCCAGGCCACCCGGCGCCCTGCCTACCTGCTGCCTGCCTGCCCCTCATCCAAGGCCTCACCTTGGGCTCCTCTTCTGTCAGCTGTTGGAGAATCTGCTGCTGCGCGGCCACAAGGCGTTCCTGCCGCTGCTTTTGGGCCTCCTCCAGCTGTGGGGGGGCAAGGGCTCAGCCAAGGGTCTCTAAGGAAGGGGCTCGGACCCCAGGGCTCTGCCTGGGCACAGAAGTCAGGCAGGCACAGGCTCCCGGAGTTGTGTGGCCACAGGGTCCTGAGATGACTTTTATAGCAAACCTTCCAGACCCAAAGGAAAAGGCTCTAGAAATCCCTCTAGGGCAACGTAGCACCAGGCTGGCCCCCAGGATACAGGTTTACGATGACTGAAGGAACAGGGGTGGGCTAGGGTGGCACCTGAACTTCACTCACCCGACGGATGGAGTTGACCGACTCAGTGATGTGTCGACGGTTAATCTCTGTCAGTTCCCTGCACAGGAGCAAGGCAGGATGGGCTCAGTGCCCAGGCACCCGGCCCGGCCTGCCCAGCGCCCAAATGGCTCCCGGCCCTGATGCCCTTACGCCTCCTTCTTATGTTTCTCCCTGGTCTTTGCCTCTGAGATACTGTTGTGGCGCTTCCTGTCCAGGATCTTCTGCAGTTCCTTCTTCTCCCTGGAGGAGCCAGTGGGGGAAGAGGAAGCCTCAATGGCAGGACTGGGGTCTCTGCCCTCTTCCTGGCACCAGGGAGTATCCCCCGTCTGCCCATGAGATCCCCTGCCTTCACCTCTCGTTCATCTCCTTCAGTCTCTTGAACTGAGTGGTGTGAGCATCCATGACAATCTCCCTGAGCCTCTGCTGAGCCTATAGACACAGGTGGCCAACAGGTGACACGGGCTGTGACAGGCCTGTCCAGGAGGCAGTCTCTCCCCCACTGCCACACGTCCCCCTCACCTGTCTCAGGTGCTCCAGCCTCCGCTGGGCCTCTGTGTCCACCTGGGCCTCCCTCAGCTCCAGCAGACACTGCACCTGCTTCTTTTGGAACTCTTGATACCTCTTCACCTCTTCCTCCTCCTCCCTCTCGTCCTCCCCGCCTCTGTGGGGAGAACCCCTCTGGGTGATGCTCAGGTCGTCACATGGACTTGGGCTGGGAGGGCAGGGGGACAGGGCATACTCCAGCAGGCAATGGGAGATGCCAGCCCACAGGGGTGGGATCTGTTACGCCAATGAGGAGGCCCGTTAGCTCCACCCAAATGTTGGGAGCCTGTTTGGGCAACAGTCTCTGGAAACACACTCTTACGGGGACTTCAAAAAAGGTATCGCTCCCTGGCAGAAAGAGGGTGGGACCCAGACTCCTCTGTCTTCCTCGCACCAAACCCTCCTCCCTGGGGTCAAGGGGCAGCGCTTGGCCGTCCCTCCACGCCCACCTAGTGCAAAAACCCATGTGCACACACATTCTCATATTCACATCCATGCACGCAGCACACTTGCACACAGGCAGGCTGGACACTCACAGGACACCCGGCCGGTGCCGGCACCTGCTCTCGGCCTGGGCCTGGGCCAGGCTGTCGAGCAACCGGCGTGTGAGGGCAACCGCCTTCCGCTGATGCTTCTTGTGTAGCTCTCGAAAGTCTCGCTCTTGCCGGCTCTGGAGCTTCAACAGGGCCTTGTGGCCTCGGAGCTCATCCAGCGGGGCCGGGGCCACCTCTGTGGGCAGCAGAGCAAAGATGGGCCGGGCCGGGCTGGGGCAGACCAACCCTGCAGGAGCACCTGCCCCCTCCAGGAGTAGCCCCGCCCCCCAGAACAGGCCTGCC